ATCACTCATTTGTTGACAAATCATCTACTTCACTTATGAATTAATATAAACCCACTTTTAAAGGATGACGGAAAATGGGGGCACATGCACATAAGTAGGGGTGAGTTTAAAGGTGAGATGAATGATTTGTTAAAAAATGAGTAGAGGGATGCAGAGTTGGGACAAGGAGAGAGGACAATCCGAAATCACAACAAACATGTAGTGATAACATCCATGACCTTAACTCTTTTTGGCTCTTATTTTAATGTTAATTTAAATCACATCAGATCTAATCAGATTAATCTTAAAAAAAGATCAGATTCAATTACATTAGACAAACGGAAGACATCGAGAGTAGTAAATTTTATCTTAATGCCAATTTTAAATTTTTTGTTGCGTTTCATTTTATGAGCTGCTAGTCTGAATATGGAGTTGTTATTATTGAGTAAATTTCCAAAATGATTCTTTTTAATAAGGTATTTTCCTAAATTAGTCTTCAATAAACAATAATTACGAACGTAGTCCTTGGTAATTGAGATGTATTTCCTAAATAGTCTCTATAAAAAATATCTATTAAATTACAGTTAAATGGAGGATATCTTGGTATTTTCTATGATTTAGACTATGAATAAGTCCTCAAAATGGTCCTATCAAATTAAGTGAGTGACTCCTAGAGGAACTAACCCACCCCGAGACGGCTTATGGCTTCATTTATGAAATACATATACTAAGAAATTATGAGTTTGGACAAATATAAAATTATAAGAAAGCATTTTGAGAACGTATTTTAATTTTAGATGATAAAAATACTAAAAATATCTACTATTTTACTGATATTTAATAGATAATTCTGATAGAGAACTATTTAGAGAATAAATCTAAATTATAAATGATCGCACAGTGACACAGGTGATTATTGCTTTAAGGACTAAATTGGGAAAAATATCACATTTGAAAGGACTGTTCTGGGAATTCAGTCAGCTAAAAACAAAAAGAAACATTTTCACTCCAATGGCCCAACAGAGGTAAGGCCCAATAAAAAAAATTATACTACTACCCAAGAAAACTGAAGATCTATCTTCTTATCCAGAGGACCCCATAAATCATCCTTCATTCACAGGGAAAGCAGCTCACTTTAGCCATGGCCACTCTCCTTCTGGGAGGAACAAACTCCTCCACTCTCCCAATTCTTTCTTCTAAACTCTTCTCTTCCCACCCTTCCATCTACCCTTCATCAGGTTTTTTCGAAATTTCCTATTTCATGGATTTTTTTCCCCAAATTATATTTCATTTTCTTGGTTTTTTTTGGGGTTTCTTTCTTGATTTATTTTATGTATTCTTGTTCTGGTTGCAGGATTCAGTGTGGGAAATAAGTTCAGTGGAGGGATTGGGCTGGCAGTGAGGAAGAAGAGGAAGTCTCAGTTCCGATTTTCAGTTTCAAATGTGACCACTGAAATTAGCCCTTCTCAACAATTGGTATTATCTCTTCTTTTTTCTTCTTTATATATGGGTGATTTAAGAGCTTAGTTTTAGACTGTGATTAATTTGATTTTAATTGGTAGAGAGATTACATTTTGGCCATTGGAGCTTGTTGTAGCTGGTGTGGAGTTTCTTCTCGAGGGGAAAAAGGAATTATTTAGGGCATGTTTGGCTGCCGGAAAATGATAGGAGAAGGAGAAGAAATTCCAATGGAGTATGTGTTTTATTTTTGGTTTTGCCTTGGAAAATGCAAAGGAAAATGAAATATAAGTAAGGAAATTTTTACACAAAAATTTGATATGATGGCCTTTATATAGTTATATAGCATAGATAGAGTTTGGACAAAAGTTTTTTCTTCCAATTCTCCTATCTATTTTTCTCCATATCCTTTTCTCTATTATTGTTGAAGTCCCAAACTCACCCTAATGGATTGAAGAAAAAAACACTTGTGCTGTGGTCAAAATGTTGAGGGATTTCTTTGTAAGTGTATGGGTCTGAGGTAAGTTTATCGAACACTCGTTTATGTATCAAAGAGAAAAAAACAAAAAAACAAACATTTCTTGAGAATGTTGTAGTCCACAGACCACTTGAGGCTTCATTTTTACTAGTAAAGTTTCCAGCTCTTTTGTAGAGAGTTTGTTCCCGCTTCGCAATAGCTTCAGTGTTTTGAAAAAGCTATCTAACGGAGTTCTTAACTTTAGCATTTTCAAAATTAATCTATACTATTAGAAAAAATCCAAAATGTGAATGCTAACTAAAAACTATGTGCCCATACAAGGCCTTGAAACGTGATTTAGTCTTTCGACCATACAATATTACTCGATTTTGTCCTCAACTTTCTCTTGGACTCAAATTGGACTTCCATGCCATACATTGCTGTAGTTAAGAAGGGTATTTCAGTACAATTATGACTGAATCGGGTCCAAATTTACATAGTTGAGAACCAAAATGAGTCCGAAGTTGAGACCAAAATAATTTGGTTCTAAATATTACTCGATTTTGTCTTTGATTTTCTCTTGGACTCAAATTCGACTTCCATGCCATACATTGCCCTAGTTAATAAGGGCATTTCAGTACAATTATGACTGCTGAATCAGGTCCAAATTTACATAGTTGAGAACCAAAATGAGTCCGAAGTTGATACCAAAATGCCCTTATAATTTAGAACCAAACATGTATTAGGACTCCCTTGGGTCTGAATTTCGAAGTGGACGACGAACTTGGATTAAAAAGAAACTCGATGACCAGAATTGGTAATAAAAGATAAGCCAAGGGGTTAGATTGGGTATTAAATCTTTTTGTAAATTGCAGGCTCAAAAGCTTGCAGCTAGTGAGAGCAGACCAGTCTATCCTTTTTCTGCAATAGTTGGACAAGATGAGATGAAATTATGTCTTTTGCTCAACGTGATCGACCCAAAGATTGGAGGCGTGATGATAATGGGCGACCGGGGAACCGGGAAGTCCACAACCGTTCGATCATTGGTCGATTTACTCCCCGAAATCAAAGTCGTTTCGGGCGATCCGTTCAACTCGGACCCAGAGGACCCCGAGGTAATGAGTGTTGAAATCCGTGAGAAAATATCTGCGGGTGAAGATTTACCCGTTGCCTTGACCAAAATCAACATGGTCGACCTTCCATTGGGAGCCACCGAGGATCGGGTGTGTGGGACCATTGACATCGAGAAGGCTCTCACTGAGGGTGTGAAGGCTTTCGAGCCGGGTCTCCTCGCCAAAGCGAATAGAGGGATTCTCTACGTGGACGAGGTCAACCTATTGGATGACCATTTGGTCGACGTTCTATTGGACTCCGCCGCCTCCGGGTGGAACACGGTTGAACGGGAGGGAATCTCGGTCTCCCACCCGGCCCGGTTTATCCTCATCGGGTCCGGAAATCCCGAAGAAGGAGAGCTGAGGCCCCAGCTTCTCGACAGGTTCGGAATGCACGCGCAGGTGGGGACCGTCAGGGACGCCGAAATGAGAGTGAAGATCGTAGAGGAGCGGGCCCGCTTCGACCGAAACCCGAAAGAATTCCGGGAGTCCTACAAAGAAGAGCAAGAGAAGCTCCGGGCCCAGATTGCGTCGGCTAGGAGCAGGCTTTCTTCGGTCGCGATGGATCACGAGCTTCGGGTCAAGATCTCAAAGGTCTGCGCTGAACTGAATGTGGACGGGCTCAGGGGCGATATCGTAACTAACCGGGCTGCAAGGGCATTGGGTGCCCTAAAAGGAAGGGATAGTGTCACTGCTGAGGACATTGCAACTGTGATACCTAACTGTTTGAGGCACCGGCTCCGGAAAGATCCGTTGGAGTCGATCGACTCGGGGCTGCTCGTCATCGAGAAATTTTACGAGGTTTTTAGTTGAAGGGATCAGATAAATTCACTTACAAGATGTGCTAAAATTATGTTTTCATGGCCCTATTTTTGTGGGATTTAACTGGATTTGTTGCTGTTTATGTGCAAAATCATTGTTTGTTATGAAGCAGGTTGGCTAGATTTTGGCTTGGTCACATTTTGTTCATTCTTACAAATGAATTGCCAAAGTTGTACCCTTTCTTGTAATGGGAATTTATGAGAGTTTGTGTTGATATTATTCCTCTATTGCTATGGTTTTCTAACTTCTGCTTCTTCTGTTTGGTATTTGACTTAAATGGACAAAAGTTGTTGAATCTGCTGCAAGAGTTTGTTAATTTATTGTGGTTGAAACTTATGGGAATAGCTGAAATAATGCACATTCTTGTCTGCCATTATTTTCAAGAATAATGTTAGGGTACTGCCATGGGTGCACTCATGCTTTGCATAGACAATAATCGTCTGTGTTGCACAGACGATTAGCATCTGTGTTTGTTAGCATGGGTGCACCCTAGCATGACCCTATTTTCAACATGCAAAATTGAAATTCCCGTTTTGGCTTGGCATTTGACTCACAAGTCTTGTGACTGTTGTGAGTAGATTAATTCATCCAATATGTTTTTGACTCGAGATTCTTCCAAAAATATTGGATTTTGAACTATAAATTGAGCCTAAAGGGACCCAACAAAAATGTGACAAACTCGACCGAACTCAGCCCGCAAAAATAAGATTTTTTCAAACTTATTATACACCGAGTACTTTGGTGTGAAATATAATGTGAAGTATTCTTTCTCTCTAGTACGTCTTAGTGTAAAAAATGTCTTTACAAACAAGTTTTTAATGACATTATATTTTTTCAAAAAGTCTTAATCAAGTTTTTTATGCATTCCAAAATAAAGAAAATTTATACTTCATCCCAATGTGTTTGCCTGATTTAACTTTTTTAAATCAAATTGGACAAACTTTATGCATCAATTAAATAAAAATTGTAATGAATCTTAGTATAAAAATAATTTCATTACATTTATCTTGTTGAAAATTTTTAAAATCTTATTTCATTGTATTAATATGCAATACAAATTAAGAGCAATTGATTATTAATGTTCACCAAATTTGACTTGAAAATGTCAAACTGAACGAATATACCTAAAAATACATAACCTGTTGAGATTATATATCTAAAAATTACTCCGTAATTGAAGTAAAAATTAATTGAAGTTCTAAAAAAGAGTATTCATAAACATACATAACCCGTTGGGTCAACCCGATCTCAATGACTTTGGGTCACGAAAATGCATTTCTAAATCTGAACCCGAACTTATCCTAAGGAGAGCTAAACTCAAACCCGACCTGACCCACATATTTGACATTTCTACTTGTAACCCTAAAAAATGGGTGCTGCCAAATGAAACACAGTACATTCATTAGGAGGAAGCAAATAAGGTTTCAATGGACACCATCACACAAGATCTGTATCTACAAAGCATCTCAAAGATTTAACATCTTCAGTGCTCTTTGCTGACAAACAAAGATTTGACACATTCATACAAGTTGCACATAAGTACACAACTATTAACATAAAGGATATACTGATCTGTGCAAATTCCAAATCCCATATCCAAAAATTCCTGACCGTTAGATTCGGAGTGGCAAACTGCAGGGGTAATTTCGTCTCCTCAAAAAATACCCAATATTACCTGGATCATGGCAATGGCAGCAAGTAATGATAGAACATGTTGCAGTGCAATTCTGCATCTCAAATATTCATTCAGAAATATTCTGGCTGAACTTTCTGAAGCACGAATGCTCTAAGGAGTTCATTATAAAAGCCTGGGGGCCTTGAATTTAGGATGTTGCTCCACAAAATCGGGAGGTCTGTTGTACACAATGGATGCAGCTCTGATCAAGATCCCAGCAGTTAAACCCCAAATCAAATACTTGTTGTTCTCCATCGCATAATCGAAGAAGTGGACTAAATAGTTATTCCCCATCCATTCTCTTTCTTCTTCTCTTCTGTTTTCATCCTGAGGAAGATTACCATAGTCTCCCATAAACAACCATCAACGGGAGGGGGAGGGGGGGTATCCAAGTGAACAAGTAAACCAAGTAAAATCCCACAAAAAATAGGGTCTAGGGGTGATGAGTACGCAGACCTTACCCCTACTCGAAAGAAGGGAGGTTGTTCCACATCAATCAAGTCATTCCCATTTTGGGTCCCGACTTTTAGCGCATGACAATGAATTCCTTGCCGCTTTTGGTCATTCCAATCACCCATTGGGTCAATTCATGTAGAATCCAAGCGACTGGAAATGAACATGAGTTGCAAAAGGTCCATGGCGGTGCACCAAAAGTGAAAAAAATGGATGTTGGGATCAAAAGTAAGAACGAAGTAAAAGTCATGGGACTAAAAGTGGAACTTTTTTAGGGAAAAAAAGAAATATTGGTGTGTGAAACCTTGAGAAACATTTCCAACGGAGCATCAAAAATAGCTTCTACTTCATCAACATTGGGTGTGGGATTGAATGCGTTCTTGTCGGTGAGTATCCCAATAACAGGAATCACTCTCAGCAGGTGCTACATGAATAGAAATAAAAAATTATTAGCAATGAATTGTACTTGACACACCCTTTGGCTAAAGATAGAGTTTTTTGCAAAAGTAACAAGTAGAGATAATAGGAGACAAATGCAATACCTTAGACAAGAAAGGCTCAAGGCAAGTCACAACATTCACAAGTGAGGGATTCAGTCCAATCTCTTCTTGAGCTTCCCTTGTAGCGGTCTCGGCATCACTTGCATCTCCTTCTTCCGCCTTCCCACCAGGCAATGCCACTTCACCTGCATCACAAACAAGAGAAATGTTTATTCTAATCAAACTCAACTCGTCCGGCTATGATAAAGGGATAGAACTCTCCTCAATGGTATGCACAATAGGCAACCTTAGACTGGAAGACTTGGAGAGCTAGGATTAGTGTAACTGAATACACCTTTTGAGCTTAGTATGCAGCTTGTGCCTATGTGCTTTCCATGTTTTTGGTGCTTAGAGTCTAGCTGCCAGTGTCGGTACGTGTGCTTCTTGTGTTTGCACTCTTTGTTCTATGTTTAAGTCATGGTTTCTTGAAAACATCTCTACTTCTGAGTAGGGGTAAGGTCTGCATACACAAACTCTCTCCCCAAACCCTACTCTATGTAGGACCTAGGCGCTACCAACTCTTCAAAAATCAATTGGTGTAAAGAAAAGCGCATACCTTAGCCTTATAGTGCATTCAACAAACACAAGCGCCGCCCACGACATTCAAACTCATGTGTGACTTGGCCCACATAGCCTCGGCCATGGGACAACTGATGCACACATGGCCAACACCGTTTTGGGATTTTACATTTTTACTAAGGTTGTTGGTAATGATGATATGTACAAAAGACAATCAAGACAGAGCTAGTACATATCAGAGCACCATGATGCATTGAAGTACCAAAAACACATCTGCCACAAAAAAAACACATAAATTGACTGACCAGAGTGAGAAGAAAGATTAGAAGACCTCCGAGTGAGAATAACACGAAGATCTCCGGCATCCCCTTCAAAGAGGCAGATCAAGACGGCGGCTCTCTTGGGTCTGAACTTCTCCTCCGGCAGGGCACCGCCGACGGAGGTCGCGGATTCTTGAAAACCCACCGCGGAAACCACCTTCCCGGAGCTCTGCTCCTCCGCATCGCGGTCTTCCCCGATCGGCGGAGCCTTGTAGAGGCGCAGCTGCTTGGCCAAGGCCATGAGCCTGTGGGAAGGGCGGGAAGGAGATGATGAGCAGTCCATGGGGAGTGGGAATGGGAGAGAAGACGAATATGATGCAACCCTTCTTAGGAAGGACACCATCATCATGCCATCATCCCAAGATTATAGAAGAAGATCGGAATGGAGGAGGAAAGCCTGGGAAGAAGAAGGGGTTTTGCACAATAATTTAACTTCATTTTGCTCCGTAGAGTTTTGGCATTATCCCTTCCACAGTTCGACACTTGGACTAACAGTGCAAATTAATTAAACACTTTACCCATTTATAAATAAAATTATTTTAAAAATCACGAGATTTTGTACATTGGTCAAAGAAGAAAATTTTTTAGCAACGGAGAGAATAATATTTATTGTTTGGATAGAAAGAAAAATAAAAGTAAAATGAAAGAAAAATAAATGAGAACGCAAAATATACCCTGAGAAAAAAACAAAAATTCTCTCATTGTGGTGAAAAAATGAGGCAAAACTAATTTATTTTTTTTCTTTCTTAAATTTTCGAACCAAACATAGTATAAACAATTTAAATTTTTTCTTCCCAAATCATTGTTGGTGTAAAAGTTTTTACTCCCTTCGTCCCCCAATTTTTGTCCACTTTCATTTTTACACACCATCCAATGCACTTTTTTAATCCATTTTATCTTGTAATTTGTATATTAAAAAATTATAAAAATTATATATTAATAATCTATATGTTAAGACATATCAAACAAGATCACACATGACTATATTTAGGCTTACACATTGAGAGAATTTGATGAGTCAAAGTTCTTAGATGAACAGTTCCAAAAGTCATAAGCATAGTTTTCAGAACCGGACCGGTGATCAAACCGGCCAATGCACTGGTTCACTAGTCGAACCAGTGATTCACGCATATTTAAAAATTACGAATTATATATATATATATATATATATATATATATATATATATATATATATATATATATATATATATATATATATTTGCGTGTGTGTGTGAAACTATGGTCATAAGTGGACAAAAATTGAAAAACGGAGGGAGTATTTGATAGGAATAAAAAAATTACTTAGTATCTATTTTGCTTCAAAAAGGTCAAGTTCAACAAAAATTACTTGGTTAAATTATTTTTGCTCATCGTTTAGCTAAGTTAAATGAGATAACCCTTTTGGTTTAGGGAAATTATTACCTATACCTAAGAATCCTAAAATTCTAGTATACCTTCATATATGTTAAATAAGCATTTTTAAAATAAAAAAAATAAGTGAGAAGATCTGTATGGACCTTTGGTCCACCATAAAATATCTCTTTGGACAAATTGTACACTTACACTCACTGAAGGATCATTTTGCTAAAAGAAAATGAAAAGAGACAACAGAATAACCAATCTTTAGATGAATAATAAGTAATCGTCAAACCCCACAACAAAAAGTAATCGTCACAATGTTACAAAAATGTCACCAGATGCAGGATATATATATATATCAGCACAATGTAGCCTATGTACACAGAGAGGATACATTTTTAGGGGGGGGGATTAATGAGGGATAGAAGAAGGGTGTTGAAGTTGGTAAAAATGTGGAGCAGCCTCTCTCAGCCAAGAAGGATCTACGGAGATCACATTTCGCATGTACAGTCTATCTGTGGAAACCAGAGATTGGAATATCACCCACTTCGGATTTACCCTACAAAAGTCACGGTGAAAACCCCAGCTGTGAGAGGGAAATAAAATATGAAGTAAAATAAAATAAATAGTTCCAGATTTCTTGATACCCATTTCATTTGTTTATTACTAATATAAAGACTAATGAATCCTGTTAGACGCTAAGAATGCGACACGCCGACCAACTACTGTCAGATTCTAGGTTCTCGTTTGTCCCACAGCAGCTGAAATATGGACTCAACTTCATCAATGGTATAATTCATTATCTTGAATATTTCAATTCAAAGAACATATACATAAGCTTCGTAAAGTCGTAAAGGTCCCTTCCACCATGTACGAGATTGTCACCGCTCTTGCTCTTGCCTGACGGTCCTCGGAGGGCTAGAGAATGAATATGCTTCTCTAAAATAAAATATTTGTCGTGTTCCTTCCTTCAAACCTCACCTCTTCTCCGTTCACAAATTCACCACCAAAAATAATTGGTCTTCTTTTTACATCTAAGGAATTTATGATTCTGGACAAACATAACAATGTACCAACCAAATGACATACCAAGACCCTTGTGAGCGGGATTTATACACTTTTCTGCCTTCCCTACCTGGTTCATTTCCGTCTGTCGCTCATCCAACCCAGGCGACAACATCCATGTGGATTAATGATGCTGCAATAGCATCTCAGTGGCATTGCCGTCTTGGCATCCGTCTGTTCAAGTCACTAATTTATCTCAATTAGTTATCCTGTTTAAGTCTAATGGTTTTCTATTCCTTCTTTTGGTAGCTAACATTACTACATTAATTTTATTGGTGATTATACGATGTTATGTTGGCTTTAGCATCGTATGGTACATCGCATAACATAACATCGATGGTACAAAAATTTCAATTCCAACCAAACAGACCCTTAAACACAAATCTGAGGACTGGTTTGTTTCAAAGTTTTCAGTTCATGGTACAAATTTAGTTTGGCAACACAATCAAAAGTTTGGTCGCTACTTACAATCCTTGGAAGTCCTACATTATAAATTTTACCCATCGTTATACCCCAAAACAAAATGGGGTTGCTAAACAAAAACATCGTCACTTAATTGATACAGTTGTTACCCTCTTACAAACTGCCTCTCTCCTTGCCATTTTCTGGGTCGAAGCCCTTGCTACAACCAAATTCCTCATAAACCATATGCCCAAACACTCTCTTCACTCTAAGTCTCCATATGAGGTTCTCTATCATACCACCATATGAAGTTCTCTATCACACCACCCAAAATTACTCTTCTTTACGTGTTTTTGGTTGTCTTCCTATCCCAACCTCTGTTATGAAAACGGTCATAATTTACAACTCCGTTCACATCACTCCATCTTCCTTGGCTACGAGTATCTTTCCAATGGGTATCCGTGTGATGATCTATATGCTAAATGTGTTCATGTCTCACATCATGTCAAGTTTTGTGAAACTCAGCTTACATACGCCTCCTCCACAGCATGTTTATCAGATCCTCACTAGTCTACCCCAAGTTATTTTGTGTGTGACGAAGCCTTTGTTAGGACCATGGCTGTCTCTGATATTTCTCAGTTAGCTGATCTCCTTACTAAAGCTCTACCTTTGCCGCGGTATCGGACACTTGTTTCGCGTGGTTCAGCTTGAGGGGATGTTAGACAATTATTGCAAGTATTATTATCATCATCATCATCAAATTTATATTATTATTATGGTACTCATTGTACTTAAGTCAGTTTAAATTTTGTTGTAGTTTCCTAAGCCTGGTAGAACTGACACCTATATATATTGTCTTATACATTTCGATAATTCTTTGAGTAATACAATTATTCCAGTATTATATCAAATTCCAAATATATGTTGTAAAGTAATCAACTAATAGCATTTCATTTTCCTTGGATTTTCTTTTTCATTTCACAAGTGTTGTCAAGGATACAAACACACCGCTCAGATTGGTAAATTTCATCTCCCCATTCAAGGAGTTGTGATGATTTGAGAGTATATATTAACATACCTGAATAAAACAGATGAAGGATGAATATAAACTTCTTGAGAACTCCTTACTGTCTTGTACATGCCATTGTGGCTAAATGGCTGAAAACGCATACCATGTTTCAGATAGAGATAAAAAGTATCACATGAAGGGAAAGAGGAATAAGTCACACAGACCCATCATACAGTCAAACTTGTATTACTTACCTCTAAACGGCAAGCATTAGCGAAAAATCCCAACGTAATCGTTTTCCTTAGTACCTGTGAAATGATTTAAGATAGAGTTATGAAGGTTATCACTTTTACAAAAAAACAAAAAAAAATCAGAATATGCATAGTGCCGAACGAGTGCGCTTCCCAAAGCCAGTAATCCTTAACAAGGGCTGTCAACACCAAAAATTAAAAAACATAACCAAATCTCATTGAAGACAGACTTGCTATGCTAGGTATATATCATCTTATAAAAACTTGTAAAAGGATGCATTTTTACGGTCATTGCCATTCATCATAAGAGAGGCAGCAATTCTAATGCTTCAAACTCAGAAATGATTCATCCCAATGAATGATGATACAAGTATGGATTGAGAGGACTTAGCCACGTGTACTACCTGCATGTCCCCCTCACATGATTTCAAGCTTAAGCCCAAACGCAGAACAATCCTTCTTAGTTGTTCCCTAACTTCCATAACTTTTTTCTGTAAAAACAAGGTACAAAAAAATGGTTAATTAAATCTTAATGGCTAAGGTCCAATCGAAAATATTATTGTAAGATGAAGACTATGAAAGTAGAAAACATAATCTTATTACATGAAAGCAGCACAAGAACAAAATCACTAGAAAACAAAGTGTTGATGCAAGAGGATGTACTTGCCATGGCATGATAGTTAATGAAGTTCTTCTGACACCATTTGGAAGATTTTTTTGATTGAATGAATCCTTTGTACACATTTAAGAAAGTCACATGATCACCCTGAATAGTATCAATTGTGCAATCATTAGGGTGTGTGTCAACAAAGCAACAATGAAGATTTTACTCCGTACAATTAAAGGGGAAGAGACTCCAGTTACTTGTGACAATAAGGGCCTTCAACTCAACATATATGTGTTCTTAGCCATGTGAATGACAAGGGAAAAATGGTGTCTGCATGGTTTCAGACACAAGTTGTGTGCTCTACTAACAAGGGACATCATACATCCTTCAACTGTAGTTGAGTTGGCCAAAACAGTGTATCATAAACTATTTCCCTGCTTCGTTGCTGTTTAGTATATATTCAGTATTCATTATTTACCATTCAGTTATACTGAACTGCAGTTACTTAGGAAGAAACCGCCAGTTTTGATTCCATTAAACTATTTTGGTTGGATTAAAATTACATTAGCATATCAAAAAAGTTGTTGAACCTCAGCTGCAGCAAATCTTAACTTTGCTTCATCCATTTCCTTTTGTACTCCCCTTAACGAAATCCAGATGGACTGCAAAACAAGGAAAAGTCCCATTGAATCAGAAAGTGAAATCGAGAAAATATGGTTAGAAGAATGACTTTTGCCGATTGAATGACCATGAGTTCTA